ATACTGTGGCACACAGTAATTACACACATTCTCAAGAGCTAAGATTTGCCCTCTGATTCTTGTTGAAGAACCCACCACAGCTGTGTTTTACTGTTACTTCCACTGTTTCTGACTTGTGCATCTCAAACTTGGACCTCGCTCCTAAACCTCCATCTGCACATGTCCAACTTCCTGTTGGGCTTTTACACTCAGATATGCTGTTATCACATCCCACTATACTTGCCTGGAAAGAAACTCATCACTGTTTCTCCCAGACTAGCGTACGGTTTCCGAAAACCACACTATCACAGCTCAGGAAAGTTTTGTTTTGGTTTGCTTTGTTTTTTACTGGAACCACTATTTTACCCGCTCACATCAAATCCATTATCACATCCCCCTGATAACTCACAGGCCTTTCACATCTATCCACTCTGTTCTCTCCTTATCAATATCTCCCTAGTTCCAGAACTTTATTAGCAAAACCACAGCGATATCCCTGCTTCTAATTCCTTTTATTTCCATCGACCTCTGTAAGAGTCATCTTTTTCAAAAACACTACTTAAATAATTTTATTGCTTTGCCCAAAAGGATTAAATATATTCTATCATTATCAAAATTAAAGTAAAAACATTTCTCTCTGGATTTCAAAGCTTTCCATAATTTGACACAAAAGGTTTTCCTAAATATACTACCTACCCTTCAGCAGTATATACATGTCTGAAGCTAGTTTCTTTCTGAAAAAAAGTAAATAAAATGTTGTTGTAGAATTCATTCTGACTCGTGGAGACTGCATGCGTTGCAGAGTAGAAATGCTCCATACCGTTTTCAAGGCTGTGACCTTTCAGAAATAGATTACCAGGCCTTTCTTCCAAGGTGCCTATTTGTGGGTTCATACTGCCAAACTTCCGGTTAGTAGTCGAGAACTTTACTGATTGTGACACCCAAGACTCTTCAGTTTCTTTTTACGGCCCCCCAAAACATATCTTTGGTTTTCCCTTCTGAGCATTTTCTCATACTCTTCCCATCAATTGATACCTTTTCACCTCCATAAATCTTTCCAAGTTCAACTTGAATCTGAGTCCCATCTCGCCCATGAAGTCTTTCTTATGACTATACTAAATCTCTATGATAGTTCATTCTTATATCAGCTCTACACAGAATAGCAGATAATATTACATGTATGTAACTTTCCCCTGCTTTATTTTTGCCTCTTAAGTGAGATTTTAACTTTCTTGAGGAAAAGTGCTACATTTTTATTTCTGTTGTGTCTGTCAAAAAACTAACCGTAATGCTGAGTCCATAAGTAGTGCTCAGTAAGTGCAATTTATTGATCAACAGATATTTTAAAAATTTTAAATTCTCTCAGCAATACAGTGAAGTGAAATAGTCATAGAATATTTAACAGTTTAAACAGCTGTTTGTTTGTTTTAAACTTTCCAAAGGCAAAGATGTTTAAAATTATTCTGGGGAGGAGGGGGAAGGTTTCTGGTGCTGGTGAAATAAAGTTGTTAATAAAATTTTCGTAAACTAAGATGATTCAATTCTTATATTTTTTTAATATAACTCAGAGAATATTTCAATTTCTTTTTCTGAATAGTCATTTTCAAGCCAAGCAAATTTCAAAGGAATAAGCCATGTCTCCATTCCTTTATTTTTTCCTTCAAGCATTCAAGTTAAGCTACTTGAACTCTCATGACATGCATCTTTGAATGTCTTATCTGGGTACGAGCTCCACATAAATAATGTTTGATGGCTTCATCTGATTCTGTCAGAAAGCACAGTTCAAACTTCCTTATCACAGAAGCTTAACAGTGGATGGCTAATGACACTTTGTCTCAGTAACTATATCAAAGTTAGGCAGA